GCAGTCTCTCTTGGGGGTCTCCCGCGAAAATCTGGGGGAGTTGGCAAGTATGGGGTTGCACGTCGCGGGTGCCGGGCGGCAGGGGTCTTGAAAATCAGGACCCGGTGCAGGACCTCTGGTGTAGAGGACATATTCTGACCGATATTCAGACCAAATATACTCGGCAAGATTTTGAGTTTTTGTTAGTGTAACCACGTTACGTACGTGGCTTGTGTGATCATTTCCATGTGTGTGATTATTCGTATGATTTTGTAATGGCTTTGTCGAGTCACTTTGCGGACTATGGGCAGGGGGAAAGCGCGTTTATAAATACATGTGTTACTTGAGCCTTACTTATATCGGGTCGGTCTAGGAAGAGGACAAAGATAAGAACCAATTTGTATTTCTGCTGCGGAAACCTTTCTGTGCAGGTTATGGCGATTCTCTGCGTCTGGTTGACCTCTCTCCGTCCTTCTGGGTCTTTACTAATAGAAAAACCAGATATCTGCACACTCTGTGTTGACAGGCTTAGCATGGGACGGCTTGCGAAAAGTCATTCGTGTAACGGCAGGTTTCGCGAGATAACTGCCCCGGAAAAATCTGATGTATTTCTTCCCTGCCTCTGGCAGCAATGTGTACTGACAAGAGGTTGCGTGTCCCAGTTGGATGGTTTATTAGCTTGTCCTGCATTTCACACTGGAGCATGTTGAGGGATAGTGGACGTTCTGTTCACGAGACTTCTCCTTAAGTGCATAGTGTTGGGACGTTTGCATTCAGCAGTGTGCGAGGAACTCATTCGATGCTTGGCGCTCCCTTTTTTTCCATAAGCCAGGCCTGAGGAAGTGTGAGAAACACAACGGTGGAATCACCTGGATGCTACTCGAGGGATGTTAGACTTAACCGTGGGTGTCATCGTGAAGTTGGCGGTCTACTGAACATGTTTCTACTTTTTAATGCTTGCTTTTTTATTCTATTTTGAAGATGTTAGAATTCTAGTTATTGGTTATTTCTACTCCTTGAATTTCTAACTTATGTGCAATTTACGTTGTTTTGTTTTGTTCGTGTTTGGATGCTGCTTTGCAACGCAAGCATGTGTCCCAACACAACTCTCTCTCTCTTTCTCTCCAGATTGGAGCATCGGCTACACATGTTTTTGTTTATACCCTTTTTAAAACCTTTTCTTTAAAATATTAAGCTTTTTCTGCATTTTTGTAGCTAAAAGCAGCTACCATTCAGCTAATAACATATTCAGCTTTTTCTGCATTTTCAGCTAAATTCAGCCATAAATGTTCACATTTTACAGCATTCGCACGCATTTTCTGCAGGAAATGCATTTTCTAGTTAATTATATGAACCTGCAAAGTAACTTAAGCTGTCAGATGAATGCAGTGGAGAAACAACATTTTCAAAAGTATAAAGTAGCATGAAATGGAAATACTCAAGTAAAGTACCTCTACATTTTACTTAAGTAGCCTACAGTACTTGAGTAAATGAACTTGAACAGCTAGAACAGTCTACTCAGACTACTTCACAAAACATCACTTTACTGTATTTCGGCATTTGACCAGGGAAAGACATCACTTATACCATATTAGCGATTACAAGTTTAACATCACAACATGGCTTTAAAATGAATATATTGCCCAGCCCTGCTTTGATTGCAGTGTGTGTTGGAGGAATAAGGAGGCAAACTCACTGGGAACTCTGTTGATGGCTCGTAGTGGGCGGAGCACCCGGACGGTCCTAATGGCTGACAGGCTGACGTTGTGTCCATCAAGCGAGTACTCCAGCATTCTGCACAGAGGGAAAGCCACCGCTGTGTCAATGGCATCGTGATCAGCCTGACCTTGGCCAACTCAATTCTCTACAGGGAATCCAGCAGTGCACTGTATCTGGGATACATAGCCTTTTAACTACCAATCACTGAGGTCTCTGTCTCTCAGGACCCAATGATGCCATTGTCATTCTGCAGAGCTGTCGCGCACACACATAAACTTCCACTGGTTCCTCTAAGCACGCGCACACACACGCTTGACATTTAACTGGCATTAAACAAGTGTCTAAGCTTTACACAAAACACACACATACACACACGATTTTGGCTCATATTTAATGTCAAATGCGCGCGTGTAGGTGTGCACGTGTTTGTGTGCGTCTGTCCAATAACTCACCCCACCACAACAATGAAGAAGTCCAATCGGTTCCACGTGTCACTGAGATAGCCGCTCTGACCTATGATCCCCAGAGCCACCATCTTCATCACCATCTCCCCGGCAAAAAACACAAAGATGCCATCATCCAGAGCCTGCAAACGCACACACACACACACACACACACACACACACACACACACACACACACACACACACACACACACAACCACACAGAGGATTAGTGTAAACTGATTAAGAGGGAGAAAAAAATTAAAGCAAAAACTTTCCAGACCCCTGATAATAAAGTCTCAGAGCTGAACATAATTAGTTTGTAATTTCAGTGTGTGTGTGTGTGTGTGTGTGTGTGTGTGTGTGTGTGTGTGTGTGTGTGTGTGTGTGTGTGTGTGTGTGTGTGTGTGTGTGTGTGTGTGTGTGTGTGTGTGTGTGTGTGTGTGTGTGTGTGTGTGTGTTTTACCTGCAGCAGGAAGGGTGTGCGGTCACAGGGCTGGAACATCCCGAGAGTCACGCAGTTCAGGAGGATGGCCAAAATGCTCACACGCTCGAACCATGTGACATGAGGTTAAGTGTAAACACCACAACAGAGTTTGAACATTGATTACAATTAGTTACCCTCAACAGAAAGCCAACAGGATGTTTCCATTGGATCAAATTTACAATTATTGAGGCAGAAAATGAACTGAAACAACACTACCCAGACTTCTGAAGTGTTAATGCAATCAAAAGAAGTAGAAAGCTAACATGTAGCTATAAACAAACTACACCATGGTTGCATAACTTTAACGTCACCACAAATAAGTAGATTCGTTTTTGAGGATGGCATGAGGGTGTAAAATGTCCCAGACAACTTCTGAAATCTCCAGTCTTTAGTTTTTTTACACTTATTAGCAACCGCCTTTTTAGAGACACATATAACCTTTAACACTCACAAGTGGGGTATTTCATTTTATGTCATACGAAAAAAAGGGGACAAACACTTAAGCTAGTGTTAGCGGAGACAGTAATTCAGGCAACACGAGGGATGGAACTGATATCCTGGTTTAAGACTCCTTCCTGCAATATTCTTTAGGTATTAGCTGCTGGGTCAATGTTTTAGTTTAAAGAGGGTTGAGATTCGATTAATGGAATTAAAGATGGGCAAAAACGTAAAGGAAAATAACATGAAGGGTTGAAGCAAGTTTTTGTACCAACGCAAACTGCCAAAACAGCGTCAGTGCTAGGTTTTACAACACTCTAAACTCTACCTGAGTGAAAAATATCATCCATCTAAGATATTAATAAGCACTGCACAACCATGGACTGTATATATAAATTGTAAAACGTGTTACTCTGAATTCCCCCTTTGAGATCTGGCGACTGATAAGACCATAGAATATTATTCACATCATTTTCATTCTCATCAAGCCACGCAGTGACCCTTTGTGCTCTATGTGGAATCATCTGCATTCATTATGTTTCTCCGTTCATTTATTCAGCTGTTTCCTTTGCTTTGACACCCAGCTGTATCTATGGTCTGTAACCCAGAGGAGGCACTAAAGAAAAAAACTGGCACATTAAACTCGAGCCATGTCGCCTTGCAAACAAAAAGATGCAAGACCGATGTTACAAAATATATTAAAGCACAACTGTTATGTGCACAACTTTGCACTCAACAGCTTGCAAAATCAAATGTGCAAGCACAGAACTGAAAGGGGTAATCTCAAAAAGCACTTTTTTTAAGGGTGGGAAATTGCTAATATAAGCTAAAATGTATCAACTTGAATTTACAGACGCTGACAGGACATGTTGACATGTTTAATATTCACAACTAGAAAAGAAAGAGAGCTACCAGGAAACACATTTGAAGTCAGATTAAGTGTAAACTTGCATATATGGCGGGTGTTTGTGCATCTTGCTGTCAAACACTCAAGTAGGAGCACGGCTCAGAAGTGGTAAGCAGAGGGGTTTAAAGAGGAAAATAGTCTAAAGTGGAAAGTTGAAGGAATGATTGTGTTGCCTTCATGCGAACACAGCCACACACACTTAAAAACTGCTGAATGGATGACAGGAACGTATTTAAGAGCCAAGGACGCGCTCATAATAAAGCCTGCAAGCATGCACATGGACACATACACATAGGAAAAACACGCGCTCATACATAGAGTCCCTTCCCCGGACGCTTTGCTCTCGAGAGGGCGGAAAAATTAATGAGAGTACAATCCTTTATCACCCTTGAGACATAGATAGAGAGAGAGGGGGAGAGAGGGAGAGAGAGGGTAATCCAGTGTCCTCCCTTCGCTCACGTTGCCATGGGAACCCCCATTTCACCGTGGGAACTGACTTCTGAGTTTCACAATCCGCTTGCATCCTGTCTGGACTGGAACACAACATAATTAATACGCTCTCAAAACACACACGCACGCACGCAAAAACGAAAATGATGTCCTTTAGCGCAGCTCCATCCTTTCCTCACTGCTGAGGAGGCTCGTTTTAATCATGTTCCATCTTTATAAGTTGCCCTGAGTGTCCATAAAACACACGCTCTCACACACACACAGAGTGAAAACAAGGCGCAGGGCAGGGTCAAGGTGTGAGTGATGGATGCAAGGGGAGTTTTTCCACAGTTGGCCCATCATTCAACATCAGTGATGAAACGCGGAGGGAATGTCCTCTCCGCTGTCCCTCTGTGTCAGTCTCTTCATTGCTCTTCCTTTATCTACTCTCACACTCAACCTTTCCCTCCATCATTTCTCATTTTTCTCTACAGCCCTTTCCCCCTCTCTTTGGCCCAATTATTTTTCTCTTTGCTCTGCTCCTTCTGCCCTCTGTCTATCCCTCTTCCTTCATATACTGTGGTATAATTTCCCATCTTCGTTCGGTATTATTTTATCTTTTTGCCTCCCATGCACACTTCCTTTTCTCTATGAACCGCCAGCCCTCCCCGTTCTTTTTTCTACATATCTTCACATATGCCTGCCCTTGGGAAGAGCTTATAGTCTCTCTGTTAGAAACCTGAGTCTCAGCCAACAGATAAACTACAACTACACTTAATAATTAACATCGTCAGAGAGATGGAGAGGCATTAGAACGGACAGGGTGAGAAATAGATATGTAGATACAGTAAGGGAGAAGTAGAGGGGAGAGAAAGAGAGGGCAAAAAACAAGGGAAATTAGAGATGAGACGAAGAAAAATGGCTTCATGCCTGAGTAAAAAAAAGGCTCAGTGCACTGAAAGAGGTTAAGACTCTGACCATTAGAGCTTAAAGTGTAAACAATTGAAAATGTTACATGGCCTCGATGCTTTATCCTGTCTCCCTAATTGTCTCATCTTCTTGTTCTTCCTCCCTCGCCAAGATATACCACCTCCTCCCTTTCTCTCGCGCTCTCCCCCTCTTGTACTCCCCTCGAGTGCCAACACAGGTAATAAAGGTCAGGCAGACATTATAAATCAAATCAGATAACATCACCCTGATCTTTCTGGCATCATCCTCCACCCTTGGCTGGGTATACATGCTAAGGCCAGCGTGAGGGAACATTTTCATCTGCAATGTTCATTATCTTAAAAGGATCATCCATAGGGACACACAGGCCATCTGGATACACGCACAATATACGGCCATGTTTTTCAGCTTGAGGAGGTTTTACAACGTCGTACCACTGCCTCGCAAGGCACACTTTATTAAACAATAGACGCTGTCATCTTTATAGCTCTATGTATCAAGTTCAAACCATTAAGAATAACTTCAGCATGGCTCCTTTTTATTTGTCATTTTACCAGTCCTTGAATTTATTAGTAAAACCTCTCCAGTCGCCATTTTTGAATGGACCAAAACTTATTTATTAAAGGCTTACTTACATTTACTCACTGCAAACCCTAATTGATTGTTGTCAAATGTGAATGATTTACTTACATTTATCATTGCACAACAGCTGGATTATTACAAACAAAGACACCTGTGGCTCCTTATTGACTTCCTAACTCAAAGACGTTGCATAACTAACTAAAATACACCATCTTAGAGTAAGAAAGTCAGCTCGTACTGACATATTCCAAAGAATATTGAATAGATTACCGTACAATCTATTCATTGTACCCATCATAATAACTTTGGTGATCCTCTGACTTTTTCTCTCTCGCACCACAACAAAGTGCATAATGGGAATTGTTGTTCAGCAGGGACCCATTGGAGAAAAGCAACGTTTTCTTAGACAATTCATGGTAACACAGGGCGAGAAATGTATACACACATTTTTTAGGTTAAGTATTCCTTAGAAAGCTACCTTAGAAGACAAATGCATTCAAACTGGGTGAGAAGAATCCACTCCAGGCAAATAATGTTTTAATATAACTGATTTAATAAAGTTACAACCCTTTAAAGTCTGGCCAAACTATGAAGTGGTATTGAACTTAAAAGCGTGTGGTTTGGATGGAAATCCTCACATGTGAGCGACTCTTTATGAATGAGCAACCTGCTCACGACTTCCCCCATGCGCCCGCTGCTTAGGCCCCCGCTTGCACTCTGATATCCACACACACAGACTTGATTAAACGTAACCCAGTTAGACTCAAAGTCTGTCGTATGTGTGTGTGCGTGTGTGTGTGTGTGTGTGTGTGTGTGTGTGTGTGTGTGTGTGTGTGTGTGTGTGTGTGTGTGTGTGTGTGTGAAATGAAGGTGGTCCAAGCCAAGTTACTGTCAGGTTGTCAAGTCCTCTGACTCCACCCCCTTACAATGTGACAGCTAGTAACCATGGAAACACTTGCACAAATCATGCTAATTGGCTGAAATGCCTCTGATAGATCACCCGACTTTGAGTACCTCCTCCTATCCATTGTTTTCTCCCTATCAACCCCCCCTTCACACACGCGCGCACACACACACACACACACACACACACACACACACACACACACACACACACACACACACACACACACACACACACACACACACACACTCAACCCAATTAAGAATCAGTTTAGGAAAAGGAAAAGAGGAAGATAAATAGGAGGGCAGATAGTGAGTAAAGAGGGATGAGAGAAAGAAGAAACCAGATGTGCAGAAGAAGAAAGGTGGAGAGAGGTACTTGTATAGGAGTGACAGATACAGCTTTTCTCATCTTTAAACAAAAGGAAACGCTCTGAATGTTTCATGCACTGCTGAATAAGTTATGTCCTGTGTGTGTGAGTGTGTGAGTGTGTGTTTTTGTATGTGTGTGTGTCGGCTTGCCCACGCACATCCCCACGTGTGTGCGTGCTTCCATGTGTGTCATATGTTACATGGGAGAGCTTAGCACTTCACAAAGTGGGCACCTTGTTCCACTCTCTGAGTGATTCTCCTCCCGAAGAAAAAAGGAAATTACACAAATCAATGTAGCTTTGAAAGAGCATAAGAGAATGTTATATAATAGCAAAATCCAATCTTGTTTTTTTTGTTCCAAATAAATGTGTTAGATAGATGTGCTATAGGGTGGAGAGATGTACAGTATTTTGTAAACATGGCACTAAGAAGGTTTGGCTGTGTTTTCAAAAAGGGAGGAAATGGAAGGACACGAGAAGGGAAATGAATTTGTAATTTGTACTGAGTGCAAAGAAAAAAGGCAGAGAGAAAGGAGGGGTCACCTCAGGAAAAATGGGACTTACAGCTCCTAGGGACTGCCCCCCTCCCAGTGCGCTCACATTAATGTCCCTGTCGAACAACGTCCACCCACATTACTTCCCCCGCAGATCAGTCAGTTACACACAAACACACGCCACACACAAGTATAGAAACATATACGATAAACAGGACATTGGACACACGCCAGTAGCCATGCTGTATGGACATGGACTGATTGACAGACACGCAAACACACAAAAACAAACAAACGCTGCAATCAGAAGTAACCGTGCCGTCGGGGCAGAGCTACGCTGTTGCCAAGCAACCAGGTGATTCCTCTAAAGAGCCGCTCCATGGGAGATTCCCTCGTTTGTGTGAGGGCATTCACACGTGTGTGTGTGTGTGTGTGTGTGTGTGTGTGTGTGTGTGTGTGTGTGTGTGTGTGTGTGAGTGTCCACTAAGTTGTGCTGAAACAGTTAGTGTACAAGGCGCCCATGGTAACAGCCCAGCAGGGTACAGAGGAGTTTTCTTTATGGCATTTGTACTCTTTTCCTCTTGGTGTACATTTTATTTATTCAGCAATTATGAATTCATATTTTATAGAGTACACAGAGTGCTGACATTGGCAAATACGGACGTGCACACTAGACAAGCGCACAGCGACACACGCACGCAGAGGAACACACACACACTCACACACCCAGTCATAAGCAGTGGAAAATGTTCAATTTGGAGAGGCTTGACAAATCCCTGAGGTGTTGCTGACGTTTATGCATGCTTCGGAGTATTCATAGCTACTCACACACACAGCAATCCAGCGCTGATAACAGACTTACACACACTCACACCTTCACGTCATCAGCAGATGTGGATAGAAGCTGAGAAGGAGAGTGAGAGACAGGGAGGGGAATGGGAGGCGAGATGATGAAGACAGAAGCAGAGCAAGGTTTGGGAGGTGATGCGAGTTCTTACGCTGTTGTGACTCTTTCTGCTGTATTAACGGAGGCCAGTAACAATGCTACTGACAGGCGACTGTAACCCTGGAGATTCATTAGGGCTTGTTACTATGGAAACCTCCAATCAGGGACAAATGTTACCCATATTTTCCTACAGCTAATGGGTCCAAGGAAATACCTGAGGTCTTCCATCACACAGACACACACACACACACACACACACACACACACACACACACACACACACACACACACACACACACACACACACACACACACACACACACACACACACACACACACACACACACACATATACACACACTCACAGAACTGCACAATTCAGACCTTCTTCCTGTCTCTCCTGTGTTTAAAAGTAAAGTAAACATCTCAGCGCTGGGGCCTTGTAGGTACAACGGCTTTGAGAAAGGACAGAGCCGAAACACAAACAGACAATGTCTCTCTCACGTTATAAACAGAGTCTCACACTGACACACACACATGTTCGCAGTGCTTTAGGTGAAGGATATGGGTGGCAGACAGCTCGGAGGCACCAGGAGCGGGGTGGGCTGGTTTGGGTCAGAGCCAAAAGAACCACTGGTGCTAGAGTGGGGTACGGCAGCTCCTCTTTTTCCTCCTCCTCCTCCTCTTCCTCTTCTTCCTGCTCCCTCTCATCTCCCTCAACTGACACATGCACCTTCTCCCCCTCCTCCTCCTCCTCCTCATCCCCCTCCTCCTGCGTTGGTCCTCTGTGCTGCTCATGCAGGTCTGGGTCATGGGTGCCCATCATGGCCGTGCTGTGAACAGCCTGAACCTGAAAGAGGGCGTAGGGGCAACGGCAAACTGCTCAGGACACGACAACATAATTGATGCATCATGTGTGTGTGTTACCGTGTGACTGTGTGTGTGTGTGTGTTTGTGTGTGTGTGTGTTTGCTGTTTTTGCCTTGTGGCTGGCGATGCAGCTACTCAAAATAAACCCGAACTGCGCTCACTGTCAAGCCTGCCATCCTGTCCACGAGACCCTTTACCCTCTAGCGAAGCAGCAGCATAAAAAAAAAAAGATCCTTCTCTGTGTTTTCTCTGAAACAATAGGCGACCTTCATCGGAAGACTCACAGCCAGCAAGCAAACCTGTGCAGGAAACATAAATCTAGCTAAAGGTGAAAACACAATCAGTGCAAACAACAGGAGGCACTTAGTCCACTTCATTATAATACAGTTGTACAATTCATGACAACTGGCCATTACTGCTGATGCTTTTAATCCATACAAGCTTTAAGCAATCTGGACATTCAGAGAGAGAGAGAGAGAGAGAGTAGCTTAGACTGCTATTCCATATTGCAATAAACAGATTAAAGTGTTTTTTCATTTGCAATAAATTCCCACTCATGATGATTAATGTAACTTATAGCTCTTGGAAATATAATTTTTCCTTAAGCTCTAATTTAACAGAAAACCTCACGACATTGTCGAGTTACATCAGACTGTGGTTTATTTGTATAAACTCTGACTGGAATTTCTCGCAGCATGGGACTATCATGTAGGAAATGTCAAATTGTATGATAATCTCAGTTTTCATTAACAGCGTGATCACAAGAGCAGATTCACTTATTGGCTTTTCCTTTGTTTTTACTTTAATTTCTTCACATTTACTGCTGTAAAGGGCAGTATGCAGTGGAGTTTGGCAGGAAGGGAGTTGGAGCATGTGACACAGTCCACATTGTCTCGAGTGCACAGCAAACACTCTTCCCTCTGGTCCACCGTGTGCTCATCGCATTGGTTATTGATTCCCAGAGATTCCTATAAAATGTATTCCAAAGATACCAATTTCTTAGGAAGAAACTGATTATTTGGAAAACAAACATAAAGAAGGATGAGGATAATTGTGTTGGCAAATCATGTGTCTTAGCATGCATATACTAAAACATTTCCTACAGTGTGAGAGGACAAGAGGAGAGCTGGCACACAAGTTCACAGCGTGGAGAGGAGTGTTTGTGTGTGTGTGTGTGTGTGTGTGTGTGTGTGTGCGTGTGTGTGCATTTGATGAAAATAATGAGATTGAATCAGCCAGCATCTTTCTTTCTTTTGTGTTTTCAATATGGGCACACATCCTGGATTGTGTGAGGAGTCCAGGGCCGAACAGTTTAAGCTTTTTGTTGTGATTCAATAGTAGCTGATGGGCGGACATCAATCAGTCATTGAAAAAAAGAAAGGCATTCTTCTGCAAAACCTGCTGATGAATCCTTTCAAAACACTTTAAAAACTCATTATGAGCCTCCCTTGCTGACAACCAGGCCATGCATGTGGAAATTATATCATCCTACCAAATATCAGTAACCTGAACAAAATATATTTATAAGACCTCTGAAACCCATTAAGTTTTTGACCCTCATCACAAATTCATAAATTGCCTCCAATCTTAAACATGAATGCACTACGGTGGCAAGCACAATAAAAGCAAAAGAAAAAACTAATATCCAGAAATTGCAACATTTTCCTTTAACTCTAAGTGTTATAAATGTATATTCATCATCCTTCTGAAGGCCAACAAATGGCATATCAACGTCGTCTATGAGGATACAGCATTTCCAAACATCAATCTGGTTTAGAAAGCTCAAAAGAGAACCAGTGTTATTAATCCTATGATTAATTGCAGAATAATATAAATCCAAATATCTCAAAATGAGTCTTATCCTTGAAGTGATAATGTATGATGTAAATATATAGGCCGACAATAAAGTACCCTAAGGTCACTCAGAGTACCACACTTTATAACTGCCTATGGAAATATTATTTTAATTTCTTCCTTTTTTTGAGGAAGACACCGCCATTGACAGAGAAAGCGTCATCATAGGTTTTGGACATTTTCTTTTGTGCCACGGACACTCACCAAACGCAGTGCATGGGACAGGATAGCAAATGTAAAAAGTATATTATAGCAACAAAAAAAAAAAACTTTGTCTGCATTCCTTACCGGGGAGCAGCGTCCATCCACCGGTGTCATTCACTCCGGGTCCGCTGTGCGCCCTGAGCTCCCGGAGCCCTGGTGCTCCATCTGAGTGCAGCCCGCTGGTCCTCTGCCTCCTCCCCCCCCTGCCGATATCCTAACTCAGTCGGTCAGTTAGGGGGATCAAAACGAGGAAAAATAGAGAGGAATGTGGCGCAGAAGTTTTAATAACCGGGAAAAGTAAAGTTAAATATAACAAGGCGACTCCCCGTGCGTCTGCGTCCCCTCAGCCGCCGGACGCGCTCTGCGGTGTTCAGGTACCGGAGTTCAGGCGCACCGGGAGAGGCAGAGCCGCGTCAAGCCAGCCGGGGAGAGGCGGTGCGGAGATACTCGTCTCTTACCTTCAAAATAAGACAAGGTAGTCCCGGAAGCCACAATATACGGTGTAATACAGTCTTGGACGGGAAATATATACGTATAATATCGGTAGGAAAAAATACTTTAGTTTACTTTTTAGGCACGTGTGCTCGATTGCAATACAAATTTGGCACATGCAAAGCCTAACAGAAAACAAATAATGTTACGCTATTAAGTAGGCTACGACATTCTTTGGGGTTTTAGCTTGTCATTTGGTGGTAGTAAACATGGTAACTTGTAAATAATGAGAAACATTAATATACAAGAAAACACAAGAATGGCTGGCTCTAAAAAAGCATTAGCAAAGTATTTTTTTGTTCCCGTAGAAGCAATTTGTCTTTTCTAATATGTATTTTATTTTGAAAGATTTGGCTGGCGATATCTATTCTTAATACCGGATAACTTGACACTGACAGAGCAAGTCAGAGCATGTGACTGTCCCCTCTCCTCCGCCTCACAGTGCACCCCATCCCAATATCCCCCTATCTCTATCTCACCAGCCAGCGAGCCCGGACACTGTGTGTGGGTTTGGGGGGGCGGATCCTAGGGTGCTGCTGACATAAAAGAATGATGCTTCCAGTCACCCTCCACAGGGAACTCCATTCACTGAATTCAAAGGTGTGGCAGTGTTCCAACAACTTGGTGAAATCATATTTAGCTATTTCAGGTTTTAGAGAAAAATGTTTGACTCCAGAGCCTTTATGTAAGTAAAGTATAGCAACACTCCTGGGCCCTGCCGAGGTGCCCTTGAGCAAGGCACCGAACCCCCAACTGCTCCCAGGCGCCCGTGAGACTGGCAGCCTATTCACACTGGCCCTCTCCAGATGCATGTGTATTCTGTATAGTGTGTAACTGTATGTGTATTGCATGTGTGCACCTACCACTGTGTGTGTATATTAAAAAAAATAAAATAAAATTGCAAGCCAGAGTGAAAAACTGAATTGTCCCCTAGGGGCATTAATAAAGGTTCATCTTCTTCTAAAAGGTAAAATTACTCCATTACAAAGTTAATGTTTTGAGATTTTTGAGAAGTAAAATTGCAAAGGTTGAGCAAAATGAGCAAAATATCAGAGGACTTTGGAATTTGAGCCTTTCCAGACCATTTACATGCACAAAAACCTATGCAAGACACTACAGGAAAGGAAAAACCCCCAAAATCATATAAGGCCTCTTAAAAACACCAAAATCCCCCTTCTTTTCAGGGCATACTTACTGTAGGCCTACATACAATAATCATACCTGTCCCACATTTGGCACGCTCAAGGACATACTGTTAGGAATTAAATGGACAAAGGTTAGGGTTACTGTCAAATAAGATAGCCTTGAACTAATTTCCTCCAAGCAAATAATATTTTGTATATGGACAGCCTATATAAGCAGGATCCAACTTCTATTTTGTTATGTTTGTTATGTTTGTTATGAAGTCTCATCAGTTAACGGACTAAAGTAGTATACAGTTTGTGATACTGAGTGAAAAAGGCAAAATAGGCATATTCAACGTCTTTAAATAGAAATGAAACTCAACTACAGCTCCTTTTTCCGGGGGCTACATCCAATTCCCTGAGGCTCCCTGAGGCTCCCTGGCAGTCCCAGGATCCCACTTTGGGAACTAATATTAGATCTCAGTGTGCAGCAGGTCTAAGCAAACAGCTTACAGGGAGCACTTGTCTTAAACGCTCTCCTGCTCATTTTTTAATTTTCACATATGGCCTCCAAATAATTTTCTGGAGGTGTTTGTTTGAGGTTTACTCTCCATTAGACAGAAAACAAGAGTCCCGCAGCAGCAGCTCTGAGGGGCAATAATGCTCTATACACGCTAGAAAACATGGATGTATTAAAAATAGAAGGACAACTTTTCTATTCTTAGGCTCAATCCGCCGTGACTGTAGTAATGGAAATCTTTAAGCTAACATGTCACATGTCATGTGTTACTTATCATAGTAATATGGTATCGAAGCTTGTATAGCAGGAAGTTGGATTAAGAATGTGAGTTTATCAGCCTGCTGTTGTAAATGTTGGCATGTTAGCATGATAACTTGATAATATTAAGCATGTAAGTGTAACATGCTCACTTTGGTATGTCAAACATTTTCAAAATCAGTCAAACCATTTGGTTGTCCACATGGGACTGCTGTTTTCATATATATGTTAAATTATATATGGAAAAAAAAAGTCCCATGTGCCCAAATACTTATAGTATTAAAAGAAAATGTCTGTATCTCAAAAACTACAAGGCATACAATTGAGGGTTTATCTATGAACTCATAACAAGTTGAATATCAAAGATATGCACACATAAGTAGAGTAAAGGTGTTATTTCGTCTTGTTTTTACATTTTAGATTGAACTCATAGATATTTTCATAATCAGATTTATGAATCAGATTTCAAGACAATACCCTTTTTCAATTGTTCCTTAACATACTAAATATAGTCTCTGTGCATAAATGGGTAATAAACCCAAGGCTGAGGGGAATGTGGTGCTTAGTTTACAGTGCAGAAATGTCACGAATAACTATCCTATATAACCGTTCGGAGAACCATACGTTTTCTCTTACAGGGCGCAATGGGTCACTAAAAGGTTAAATGAGAATGAAAAGGGTTTTGCTTTGTTTTTAACAATTTTATAACATGTTAAATACCAAA